GTTCTGACACCCGTAAAATTTCATGTTTAATAAAAAAAAATATATATATAATTGTTTAGAAAAAAATTAGAAATGCGTTCATATTCACAAGATAAAATTTCATACGATTCGGAACACCCGGTCTGAAGAAAGGTTTTATGGACGGCGCCCCTCGGATGCCTATTTCACATTGACTCGATGCACTTCGGAGGTTGGAACACGGTTTCGCGATTCGTCGTCCCAATCCCGACCTCGATCGGCGGTGCTTAACCTCGAGCACATCAGGCGGGGTCGCGTTAGGTCGGTATCGGCGCGCGTCGACGTCGCGCACCAGAGGCGCGTACGCCGACCGCTGACGCAGTCGTGGACGTAGGTCGGGCCGCGGATGCGTTCTCCTCGGCTCGTGACGTCATCGCGCACAGCGCTACGCGCACCTTTCTCCTCGGGCGGCGACTCGTCGCTTCTGTGACGTCACCGCGGACCAATAGCGTGATCGATCGATACCCGCCGACGTTGCCACGTCTCGCGATCCATTCATCCCGGGGTTGCGCGCGTCCTGATTGGAGCGGACGTCCGCTCGTCTAATGGCATCGTTGCGCCCGTAGCGCCCGTAGCGCCGTTCCGTCATGGAAGATAATTACGGCAGAGAAGACTCGCGCGGTGAAACCAGAGTTCTGCCATTGTCTCGGCATGTGATTAAACGCGTAGGGAAAACTATGCACATGTCCATTTGCCTTTCTCGTGCATTTTAGATCCCGTGCATGCAGGAAGTTCAAGAAACATTTTATCCACGGATTGTCGTTACCGCCAGCTGCGTCATTTCGCTGTCGGGGGGGCGAACGGAAGCGGACTATTCCCTCGTTGGCTATTTCCACCGCGCGTGTGGCGTGGAACGCGTGTTGGAACACGTGTCGCGGGCACAACTGCGCTGGCTCGTTTTTCTCTAGGGACTCGCGGAACCGCTTGAGCGGCTCGAGACGGGAACGCGATGACTGGTGCGAGGTCGGAAGGTCGAATGGAATCCATTTGTCCACGAGGGTCGTCGCGATTGCTTGACGACTGTCCCACGGTCAAGCCGTCCGGTTCTCACGTTTCGGTGAACTGTATCTTGTAAACTCTCCGCGAATAATCCCAAAGTCACGGTCGCAAACATATTTTCAACCCTCCGGTTCATTTCAGTCGGCACACGCCGCATTTCTGGAAAGGAATAACATACATCGAGCGGCCAGGCATATTACACGATTTTAACGAGAACGTTGTATTTCTGTAATCAGGTTTTCTCATATGTCTCAATGAATTATTCCGTGGGTTATTTACATATTACACATTCTTGCTATATTTCTGGAATTCGAATATTTTCTTCCTGCTTCGATGATCTTGTCGGTTGTCACGTGATTGGTTATTACGGGAAAATCCCTGTCATCCGAAAATCCTAATAGCGGGCTACCGCCAATGGTTACTACCAATGGCTATCATTGTCCGAGAGAAACCATTCGTGCCTCGTAAATGGACTTGGGTTTCACCGTCGGATGGACACCGTGGCGGCGCGGTCGGCGAACGGAATCTGTTTTGCCGACCGAGGCTGCGATAATGGGGGAAAGAGGGCCCCGTAAGACCGCGTATCCGTGTCGGCGGCGTGGCGCTCGTCTCGCAGGATTCCATTGAGCGGCTACGTCACATCCGGGCGGGCGAGGGGCGGATGTGACGCTCGCCATGCCGAGCATCACCCGTTGTGCAGCCGGCATCGCGACCTGGGCCAACGGGCGTTTCACCACTCAGCCTCACTGAACGCGTCGCGTGTCACACAGTGCGCGACGTGTTAACGCGTCGAGGATGAACGACCAATCAAAATCGCGGGGGAAGTGACGTACAGGGTTATAGACCATTTTCATTGGTTTTTCAACTTCGACGCATTGACGCGTCGCGTTCTGTGTGACATCCGACGCGCTCGGTGGAACTTCGGTCTTAGCAACAGAACTAACTCTTTGAGGAACGAACATAATAGCAGATAATTTATGACCGTTTGGTAGCCATCGCGAGCAACAATCTCATATTTCCATTGATAGCGATGACATTGCGACGGAAGTCACGATTGGCCGATGGAAAAGTGTAATTTGAGCACCGAGATTCTCGGAAGATTCGACGGTCGGTTTCAAGCACGGCTCAACATTTTTCCGGTGGCCGCTTATTGGCTCTTGTCGACCGACGACAAGTGTGAAGGGCTTCTCGGCGATAATACGGCCCTAGTATACGTTCAGAGAATTATTTTTCTTTCCTCGAATCGACTTTGTGTTGCTCCCAAATAGCCCTAGCCTCTTTCCTAATATCTTATTCACCGCTTACTGACCCGAAGGGCGAGGTAAATCATTTGTCGCTGAATTTCGGTGCATAGGAAGGTCGGGGGCTACTTACCTGGGATTCAGGTTAATTGGGAAACGTTGACCTGGTCGAAGTGACCGTTGCTATTCTCTCGTTGCAATGAGGATTGTGACCCCACGCTGGGAGGCTTTGGAAATGCCGATTTCTTTTTTCGAATTGCCCTACCTTTCTGATAGGTTCATAAAACTTGAAAAAGCCAAATGGTGGAAATCCGACTTGAAATGTACTTTCCCGGTTTCAACGAAAAACAGACCTGCGTTGGTTAATAACGAAACAATGGCCACGAGTATCCTTTATGTAGAATGGGGATATTGTACCTTGTTCAAGGAAAAGTGCCGGGGTAACATAAATTTTCTGGATTTCTTTGTCATCGGCATTACCTAGGGTAACTTCCAGGTTCGTCGTTATATATTTTTGACAAACTCGGGTTAATGGTGGGGTTGAGTTTTACTTCCACTGGAGTAAATATAGAAAATTCGCGGGAAGTCATTTTCCATTGTAACCCTAGTAACGTCTCTTCTAATTATTCGATATGTTCTCTTTCCCATTGTCATGAGCAGATTATTTTTTATAATGTAGTTTTATTTGTGACAGCTATATTTTTGTTGTATCGGTAAATTATGTGATTGGCGTTACAGATATTATCACTTCATGAGTAACAAAGAAAAAGTATCTTTGCTCAATTGATTTACATGCTACATTTATACTTTTTATTTTTCGATCGCATATTTTACTAATGCAAAAAGGGTAGCTACTACAAATAAAACTGTTTATATTATAATAGATAATCTATGCAGATGTATTACAAGATTCCAAGATAATTTAATGTTAACGCCATCGAATGTATCATTTGTAATTCAGATACTGCGTCAACTTGAAAGAAATTCTAGTGGTCAAAAATTGCCCGAAAATCGCCATCCCTAAGCGATTTCCCCCCACCATAGAAGTTTTTCCAAACCTGAGGGCTCCATGGCGAATATAAATGCTTTCCCTGCAGGTATGGTCTCGTCAGTGCACGATGGGAAAGCATTCATGTCCGCTAGTGTATCACCGTAGTTACGAGTAAAAGTGCATAACCTTTCATATAGTTTTGATCGAATGCCGTTGAATGTTGCCCTTCAGCGAAAGAAAATAAAAACAAAATAAACACTAGACCGGGACAGAGGTAAAATGAAAGATAAATAAAACTTTATATCAGCATTGTCAATGCAATACCTAATACAACGACTTTGAAATATTTTTCGGAAGAACGTAATTACTTTTAAATAAAAGTATATGAAAAATATGTGCGTCGAAAATTGCGGAGTGATGAAACACTAAGAAACTCGGTAAAATTATTAAATTTCAAAACGGCGGATAGGATAAATTATCTAAAAGCAAGATGTGCTGCGTTCCCCTATAAGTTTTGATTTGAGGGCTAAATCTGCTTCTCGTATTTGTAAAATAATATGTTTAACGTAAACTAACGGCGTTGTGGCTCTTGAGGTGCATTTTGGAGTGAAACTTTGTTAATCCCAGGAAGCGAATAACGCGCCCCGGGGCGCTCTCAAGAGTCGACACGGAGCTGGTCGAATCGGCCTCGGCTGGCTCGACGGCCTCGCCCCCCTTTCTCGGGCAATCGATGCGTCCGCAACTCGAGAGATGGCGCCACCGCTCCGGTCCCTGCCCACATGTGCAAACATGGCCGACCGCCTAGTCCTCGCGCTGAACGTACCTCACAATTTCGCTTGATACCTGCACTGCTTACCGGACGTTACGTGGAGACGGCACCGTTCGATTCGACCGGCTCGTATTTAGGGAGGTAGGACGACGGTGATTCGGAGTCCTGGGCGAGCTCCTTCCACGGTTCGCGAAGTATCTCGTAAACACCGCGGACACGCGGACCATTCGTCGAAGAGAGCGATTGCCTTCGCTGATATTACGCGAGCTTCCGGTTCGCGGATACGATCGAACCTATTGGCTAACCTCGGTAGGAGTTAGCGCAACGAGTGTCGGGGACGACACTCTCCAACGGTCTGGCGCGATCGCGAGCGACAGCAGGGACGGAAACACTGTGCCAAACACGCAACGAATAAACCCAGGGTGGCTGGGTCTCGACCAGAGTTCGCGAGGCCACGCTACGGTGGTCCGATCGGAATATGTGGGGCCTCGCATGATACGGTCGCGACGAGACGAATTTTAACTTTTAGGGGGAACTTACGGACTGACTTTGACGTAGAAAGGTTACAGTTTAAATTTTATCGGTGTACGTTCTTGACATCTGGAAACGGTTATAGGAGACTTTCGATGAAGCCTTCAGTCGACAGTGGATCGATTCAACTTGTGATCGTCGATAGAATTTGCTTTGTCAATACGAACGATCCAAAGGTTGCGAGTCCAAGTTTCCCTGCCGGGATGGCATAAGCATCCATTGGTACGTCGCTCGGAGAATGGCAAATATCACCGACAGTAATGGCTATCCATATGGTTTTGCCAATGCTTATATAGGTCAGTGTAATGATTCGTCGATCGAAGAGTTTTAAGTTCGATGGGTGTTGAGACGTTTAGGTTGATATTCTGGAGATTAGACATCGATGTACACGATACGATTACCCCTGAAAGGCCTTTATGAACTTTAATCGATTGTCTTTTCTTGATTCCAGGATCGGACTTTCATGTACCTGGACAAAATTACGGCGCCCAGCCAGGTGGGCAGGTGGGTGGAGGAGGGGGCAACGTCGTTGTACAAGGAGGCAGAGGACCTCCTCCGTTAGGGAGTTTACAATCTATAGGGCAGTCGACGGCTGGGATACCTCCTGGAGCTTCGTCAGGTGGGCAGCAACCTCCGCCGCAAGCTCAAACGCCAGGAGTTCAATCCCAACAGTCGCAGGGTCCAGCCCCTACTAAAACTCCTCCTGTACACACCCCATCGCCTCAAGAAATGGGGAAACAGGCTCATCTTCAAACGGCACCTCCACCTTTGCAGCCAGTATACATGCAGAACCAAACAAGACCTACCTCTCAGGTATACGCCACTTAATTTATCGTCATAGGCTTTTTAAAATTGTAGATGTATTCTAATGTAATATGAAAATATGGACTAGCTTTCAATAGAAGTAATGCATAGCGTATCCATTGCACTTTAACCTTTATAAATCAATGGAAAATTATTTCGCAGGGTTATTACCAGGGTCCTCGGCCGCAACAACCTAGGAGTATCGGTCACAGAGGTGGTCAGGGGGGTGGTGGGACCCAAGTTGTTGGCATGCCAGGGGTAAACGGTGGCGGAGGGCAACCTATGGCTGCATATCCGCACCATGCCAGTATAGCCGTGCAACCAAGCCCTATGTACGTTCCGGGTCAGGTCGGCGTACATACTGGTCCGCATCAGCAGACCGTATATTCCAATCAAATACCCATTCAGGTAGTAGTTAAGTACCGCTGATTTTATATTTATTATCATTCATCCGTCATCTTACAGTTATTGTCAAAGAAAGCACAAGGTTTCCTATTGGATGTTGTCGGTTCTTTAGTAGAAATTCTTCATTGGCCCTTTGTACTAAATACTCCCTGGGTAGTATATCAAAGGGTTAATGAGGACTGGCTTCGTCTTGTGGTGCCCTATGTGTCTTTGTACTGTTGCGACTGATTCACACACTATCACTTTCTACGACGTACAAAAGTGTGATAAATGTCTGGTTTCTATTTTAGTTTCCTGGACCACCTCAAAGACATCAAACGCATCAACCTCCATCTTTTTACCCGTCTTTTCCACCCCTGTTAACGACAGGCATGTACGGATATCCATCGGGGCCCGCCCCACAATCCGGATGTAAGTACTCGTCCTAAGAGACGATTTGATCATTTTTGAGGAGTTAAAGTCTCCTGCAAAACCTATGTTCATTAGATTACCATCTATGGCTCGTTAGAAAACGTTAAAATTTGTTCTACTTTGCAGACTATTACACACCGACCAGCTCACAGTTAAATTTAAGCAGGGCAGGTGGCGGTGCTGTTAGTGGTGGAGCGCAACATGTCGCAGGCCCGCTGGCCGGTGCCCAAGGAGCTCCTGTGGTACCTCAAGGTACACTTCATCAACCCACACAGCAACCCCAGTCTATGCCTCCAATGCCAATACCTCTCGCTCAGACTGGTAAGTTTCATACTTATGGGGGCCTTTAACTTCCCACCGTATTCAAAATAAATATTGTTCGTTATAATACATCATTTAATATAAATATAATCGCGAAGATGGTACTAATTATTACAGTATTATTGTATGACTTCTCGTATATAATTTGGTCCAGCAGATGGTCCACTCAAAATCAAATATGGTGACAAATGGGGTTTTCCTTTTAATTTTACATCGGACTGATACGCTGAGAGCACGACTACTGAAAGGTTAATAAACATTAAAAAGGGTTGTTATATGTAAGGATGTCAATATTTCAAGTTTAATTCTATAATTACGGTCCCGTTTATAAATTTCGAATCATCCTTAAAATTAATTATATATTTCTATAGTACAATGTTTGTACGACGTTTTAAACTGAACGCTTTTGCTTTTAATCTTAATTTCAAGGTGACAAAAAATATACACTTTATTGGTTGGTTAGACCCCTTTCCGCAGAATGACAAATAAGGATTTTTTACTTCTTTTTATATACAGAATATATTTTTAATATTAATATATTTCGTATTTCCCAAGTGCAACTTGTGCATTTAAAAGTGGACGAATTCTCGGTAGGCTAATCTCTTAGAACTTTCTATTCTGAGAATTTATGAGTTTCGTGAAAAGTCGACTTTTCCTACTTGACTTCTAAGCGCCGGATGTCTCGTCTTTGTTCCCTGGTCCTTCCGACTAGGTATTTGCACCTGAAACCATCTACCTGCCTTTAGAATAGTCAGTCAGTCAGTGTCCGACTCCCAAAGGGTAAGAACTCCAAACGGTGTTTCGTACTAGTCTTTCGAGGGCAATTGTACACAGCAGTATGTACGCGAGTAATGGCGTGTATAAATTGTACTACGGTAAGTATGGAGGTCGAATCGTGTTAAAAAAGCTGACAAATCTCATTTTATGAAGAGACTTAACAGGTTTGAAAGATACCGTCAATGGAATCGTGATACGCGTCGTCGGTGACAGATAATCGTGTCAGATAAGTGTTACGAAAGAAATTCACGGTAATGGGTCATACAAATAGACAGAACATCGAGCACGTAATAAATATTTAGGAATTTCAACGATATGTTAATTACATTCAGCAAATTTTAACGTGAGTTTAAAATATTTTCCATTAGTGTGCGGCAGATTCCCGAGGATCATGTGATGGCAATTATTTTTAGCTCGAAGTAAAATAAAAATTTGTAAACAATTTTGAAATCCTCCAGTGCATTATACGGTAGAATCATCTTTGTAGCTTATTGTTAGTATGAAGCTATAATTATTTAATCTTTAACTTTTAATTTATTACCGTTAAATTTGACACGTTTGAGGCGATTATCTTTTACTCATCGACTTCCAAAGTCAGCCAAATGAATCTTCACCTTATAATTATATTACTTCCAGTATGTTATCATTTTTACTGACACGATGAAATTATACAAAGATAAATGCATAGTGGGAAGGTGTTAAGGTGACATGAAAGTGGCATCTGAAGGGTCAGTCGTTAGTGAAACTTTTCTCCGAACTGAATGTACCGAATTGTTATAAACTTTACCGAGTGAATACGGAGACTCTAAGAAAGGTCCTGACACCCACGAGATTTCATTTTTTATACAAACTTTAAATAAATGTCTGTAAACAAATTTAGAAAAAGAAAAATTGAAATTTCATGGGTGTTAGGACCTTACAGTCTCCAGATCACATAACGTAAATTTTGATACGATTCGGTACCCCCAGTTCGGTGAAAAGTTTCATAAACGAGACCACTTTGACGCCACTTTCATGTCACTGTAAGGAGCTCAAGGATCTAATTTTGTAAAAAGATTAAGAATAGTCGATAATATCACTTAGTCCACAATGCATCTAGTCAAGAGTCAATACGCGTATAAGATAATTGAAACGAAACGAGCGTCTATGTTGTGCAGTAACTAGTGTGTGCTATCCCTTAAGGTGTTACATAATTCGAATATTTGTTTGATTAAAGAAGTTTACTCGGGACATAATGGCGGAGCAGCGAGTGCAACGAATAACCAGGCTACATGTAAAAGGCAGAGGATAAAAAGGATTATAGACATCGTCGACCCGAGAACGGGAAGAAATATTAGCGGCGAAATTTACAAGGACGATACGAGCACGCAAAGTGGAGGATCAAGTAATCGCGATACTCCACAGCCGCAGGTGAGTGCGAACGGAATATCGAGACTGCAATTGTCTAGAAGAGTTGTCCGAAATTATCAAAGAACCCACGCGTTACTAATTCATGTACAAAGTACTTCTTTATTGTCTCGACGTTTTCGAAGCGATCGTTCACAGCCATGTAAAACTCAAATACTCCCTAAAATGTGTTAATAGTTTACCCTCGAGATACAAAAATCTATCACGAAGTTAACAAATTAAAAACGGTTATTCAATAACGTGTTATATGAAGAGTTGCTCGAAAAAGGTCGTGAGAGTTCAATACGCGGTGTTTAAAGTGTACTTTTGAGAATTTTGTCCGATTTTGAACTCTTATGCTTTTCTTTGATAAATAAAGAAGTTTTACATGTCTTTTTTGTACCTTGCTTCGAAGATGCATGTAAATACACCTCAGGGAGAGAACCCTGAGTTTTACATTACCTTCAAAATTAGAAAAGTTGTAAATTAGCGCGCAGTTGTGCTCACGAAACTCTTCTAATCAGTTGCTAACGTTAATTAACGTCTGTAGCCAAGAGCCACGGCTTTTATATAATTTACAACTTTAGCCGATTCTTTCCGTTGTTCATAAATAGTGTTTCCAATTAGCAAGTAAGTTTACGTTGTGAATAAGAGTACTTGGAAGACTCGACGATATAGTTTCGTAGGTTTACTCTTTCGCATTGATTTTCACCATATTATTTCAAAATTTACTGTTACGGATTATATCGGTTGTTACGATTCCTTTATTAAATACGTGCATTGTAGATTTTCTCATACTGCCGCGTCTGTTGTCTCGTGTTGGTCTTGTACTATATCGCTTACATGTTTTAAGAAGCTTTTGAGTTTAAATTGTAAAGATGTTTAATTAGATAAGGAAAGGTTCGACCACGCCGATCATTATTGGATTTACTCGAAGTTTAACGATTCTTGTAGCTTGTAGCTTGATCGGTTACTTATCTCGTATTCTTCTGGCCTTCGCGGATCCTTTGTAGGTCGGGTCGATTCGTCGGCTTCGAAGGAACGGTCGTATGATTGCAATTCGGCGTTTAGTTTCCTTCCGGTGGGTCGCTAGGGTTTCGATTTTCCTCAATCTATGATTTCGAGTCTGGAGCGAGTTTTTAGTTGTCATACCTGAGTCCGCAAGGTTCGAGCCACGTAATCGTCTATCACTCAGGTTTGGTGATTGTTGCAGAACACCGGCGGTGACATGATAGCTCTCGAGTTCGCGGCGATGGTCGCGAAGTCGATCGCCGGCGAGGGGTCGGAGTCCGAATCCCCGGTATTGGCTAGCGCACCGGCGACTCCTCCCACCTCCCAGAGCGTATCTCAAACTCTTCCTAATCTAAAGATCCAAACGAATTCCACTAACGAGACGAATAGTCAGTCCAATACGAGCCCCTCCACGCCCACGCAAACCGTACCCACTCCCGGTAGCCAGTCGTTAGGTCCCACCGGGAGCAGCGGCCTGACCCAGCCGGCGGCGGAGCCTTCCCTCTCGGCGCCCAAGCCGGAGTCAAAGCCTCTGCAGTTCCCGGCCAAGGAGTTCCAGCCGAGGGTCGAGACGAAGGCGGAATCGAAAGCGGAATCAAAGGCCGAGCCGAAGGCCGAGCCCAAGGCCGAGCCCAAGGCCGAGCCCAAGGCCGAGCCCAAAGTCGAGCCCAAAGTCGAGCCCAAAGTCGAGCCCAAAGTCGAGCCCAAAGTCGAGCCCAAAGTCGAGCCGAAGGTCGCCCTCCCCGAGGACTCTCACCCTAGCCTAATCCATGTCAACAAAGATCCTATTCCTGCACAGCCATCCGCTACGGCCGGCGTTTCCTCCCAGGAGCCGGAACCGAAGGCCGTGGTCCCGACGCCGAGCGTCCCCCAGGCGACGACGCCCGCCGTTCCGGCCGCGCCGGCCCCGGTCGCGGGCGAAGTCCTCGCCCCGACGACGGCCACTGCCCCTGCCGCCCCCGCTGCCGCCGTCCCCGTCGCTTCCTCGGTCCCGGTGGCGATGCCGAACCTCGTCTCCACTGCCACGGTTACCGCCGCACCCGCCAAGGAACCCTTTCCGAGCTTGGTCAGCAAAACTACGGCCACGAGCTCCTCGCCGCCTCGTAGGAAATCTCAGGGACAGACTCAACCCGCGACCCAACCCGCGGCTCTTGTCCCCGAGATGCCGCCGAAGGAGCAGCGCGAAAGGAAGTCCAACGAGAAGCGAGAGTCCCGAGCGTCCGCGGCCGCCCCGGTTACGCAGCCACCCCCGGAACACCACCGGAAGGCCAACGGCGAAGGTCCCGTCGAGAAACAGGAACTCGAAACAGTGCCTAAGAACGAGCCTCAACTGCATCATTCTCACCAGCAAAAGGCGGCCGATGGTGAGTTTCCCTCTTTATCGATTCTACGCTTGCTCCACGGTAATGGGAAGAAGTTCACGGGGTGCGTTGCCATTTTTGGCAGGATCTTGGCCCATGCTTCCGAGGTGAGCTCGGAACGATCGGCAAAGTATCGAGGCTCCGTCCTTTCACCATAACTTAATGGAACCTCAATGTTTATCATTTTTCTACATACAAAATTGCATAACCCGACGTAATGATGGATCTCGAGCCGGTACCTCGGAGGTTGCAAGATCCGTTCCTTTATCGCGACGAAGACTGAGAACGCCCCGGACGGGGGGGCATTGTTCCATCAAAATGCGCGCGTTGAAATGTCACGTGAAATTCGAGCTCTCGTAGGCGCTCGGCGCGCTTCGGTTACGAAACCGGAGCGGCGGGCGAGAAAGTGCAGATCACGGAATGACTACGGGTGACTACGGGTGACGTTGGTTGGAAATGATTTCGCGCCGTATTAATCGGCTCTCGATATGCGGCGCGAGGGTGCGTGCATTATTATTCGCGCGTGTCTGGTATTTCATCCGCGTTAAATCCCGTTCGCGTTGCGCAACTCGGTTTGCGAAACCGGCCGAAAAGGAAAATCTGTTAACGCTGCTCTCTCTCTCTCTCTCTCTCTCCCCGTTGCATCCGCCATTGGGCACCCGGGAGCTGCTCGGTCGCGTTTCAATCGGTCCAGCCGATTATCGCATTCCTATCCGCGGGGCTCTCCTGAGTACTCGCGGTTTCCACGCGGCCTGGCAACGGTAAGGGCAATGGCGCGTGACGCGAACTTTCCTGTTCAGCCGTCAAACACCAGGGCGCGGCACGCGCGCCGCGCCGACGCCCCGACGCCCCGACGCCCCGACGCCCCGACGCCCCGACGCCCCGCCGCGCGCGCGACCGGTGTCGCCGACACGAAAGCCTTGAACGAGTTTCCCCAAGGACGTCGCAGCCTTTTCACTTTTACCTAGAAAATTTGCCGTCCACGCCGGGATTCGCACACTTCCTCAAGGCGCTGCCCCCTTAAATGGGATAATAAGGAATCTAATCCCCCTCGGCCGTAATCACGATAGGGAAGGATCTTTGAGTAGGTCTAAAATGATATGAAAGTGGCATCCGAGGGGTCTCGTATGTGAAACTTTTCTCCCTACTGGGTGTATCGAATCATGTGAAATTTTATCACGTGATTAAGGAGACTCGGGGTGTCTTGACATCTATGAAATTTCATTTTTTTTTTAACTTGTTTACGAACGTTTATTTATGAGCAATTATTTTTGTCGGCGACAGGACCCTCTTAAGGGCCTTCATTTTCACGCGGTACAGTTTAAAGAAAATAATCTGAAAAAATGACAGGCTCTAGAAAACGTAACGCTCAAACATGGGTCCATGATAAGTTCTCTTAATTGAGATATAAATATAACGATTGATCTCTCGAACGCCACTTTCATGTCACTTTATGGTTTACTATCAAAGGAATGGTGGCACCGTCTAGCGTGCAATCGTGAAAGTTATAATTCGGAATAACCTGGCTTCTATCCATTTAAATGCATTTTACTTGCCGTTAGGATACCGTGTGAGGGTATGGGATTCTGAAATTCATCGAAACATGTGAGGATTGTCGAATACGAGAGAAAAAAAAAAGGGCATTAAAATTACGAGAGAGCGTGGCGCGGCTGCGCAATTCAGATTTTTCCTGTTCATTGTCCTCGAATACAATGACGAAGGTTTTCTCGATAAGGGGTAAGGAATAAGTCTCCAGGGAGACAATTCAAAATGAATACGTGATTTCCAAAGCGATGGGCCACTGCCCCCCGTTTCTTTCACGATTCGCTTGAACTTTGTTCCACGGTGCATGGACGATGTCACCGGGTCGCGGCGAAACGAATAAACGCGAGCAGAACGTCGTTCTTGACTTGCATTGCCCCTCCAACCGCGAAATTCGCGACGTCGCGTCTTGATGTATGATTACCGTCGCCGCGCTAGTAAGGCCGGGGTCGCACTGAGTGCGGCGCGTCGACGCGTCGAAGATGGACAACCGGTCAAAACTGTGTTTAAGCTCGCTTTTCGAGTCGAAATTTGGACCCTACTTTGAACCTGCGTAACCTAGCGTTTTCAACTGAACTACGTTTTCTTACACTGGTATTACACGAGTACAGTGCAAGTGCATACCAAAACGGTATCGGTATTGAATCGCGTATACACTTGTTACGTCCGCAGTAGTGTTGCCATATGAGTCGACACGCAAACTTTTAAGAATGCTTTGCTAAAAATTACAAAATTTGGGGAAGCTTCGAAATTTCGTGTCCATGTCGTGACCGTTTTCATGCATTATTGTAAGCGATTTTGATTCCGTGTCCTCGTCTTCACCTCGAAGAGCTTAACAATTTCAGAATTACTTGCAAATATTAGCGTCGGTCGTTAACGGGGGTCGCTGTATTACATTTCTGCCCCACTTCTTCTCTGCGATGGGAGCAAAAATGTAACAAATCGAGTGGAGAGTACACACCACCAACCCGAAACTGTCAAACCGAAGGCGATACCCTGGCACAGTATGTACAACCCTGATCAGACAAACACATTTAGTGGTAATATTCTACCCTAGTGTTATTTCGTGCAACCAGCTGAAAACGATATAAGTAAACCTTCCTTTAATCCTGTTTCACTTTTCAAGTCCTACTTTTGACTTTGAACACTCTACTTTATTCGAATTAAGACCCACTTTAGACCTGGAAGGTGAAGAGATGGAAATATCTACCACTTTTAAGGTCTAAAGAAGGACCTCAATTACATAGAAATTACTCTATTTTATATTATCTCAAAACTCGTTTAAGGGGATGTGAAAGTGGCATCCGAAAGCTCAATCGTTCATATAACTTTTCTACGATCTGGATGTCTCAAATCGTTTCATACTTTAAAACGTGAATATTAACACCCTAAAGTAGGTCCTGAAACTCGCAAAATTTCATTTTTTATAAACTATTTTTCAAATACCTATAAACAAATTTGAAAAGAATTAAAATTTCATGAGTTTCAGGACCTTCCTTATAGTCTTCCTATTCACGTTGTAAAGTTTCAAACTATTCGTTAAACCGAGTTGGGAGAAAAGTTTTATAAACAAACCCTTTTCGACGCCACTTTCACATCACCTTAAGGCTTCCAATTAGAGGTTCTAAGTTGGACCTAAATTCCGATTCGGGTTCCGTCGAAGAAATGTTGGTTTGCACAGAATTTGGCGCATTTTGTCACGAAAAACGCGCTCAGTCGGACTTCGGTCGCAAGATACACCGCGTCGACCAATAGGACGGTGGGACGAGCGGCATTGGGCTATTGCAGCCGTGGATGCGCGCGCACCCCATCGAGCCAATCGCAACCGCGGATGCGCGCGCCCCCCTTCGGACCAATCACAGCCGCGGATGCGCGCGCACCCCATCGGGCCAATCAGAGCTGCGGATGCGCGCGCACTCACCGGGCACGGAGGTTGCACGCGACTCGCTCTATTCGCGTCCCGCAAACGAGAGAGCACGCGACCCCGCTTATAAATACACGGCCGGGCGGCGCGCGCGCAATATGTCTTTTTATGTAACTACTCGTCCTTTGTGCGGCCGCTCTCTGTTTACTTTCGCGAAATGTCCGCTACCGTTAAGCCCTAGTTCGCCTCGGATAGGCAAATCGGCGAGGTCTCGCCCAGGCCGGAGACGCTGCGCGCGATCCACGACAATAGCTACGCCACGCTACCGTTAAGCTCTATTCTACACGTAACGACGCTATAGCGCAACGGGACGCGGTTAAACGGAGAACCGAACTGCTTGCGCACGACTTCGTCTTCGCGCCAGGGTGATTCGACTTTCGCCGGATTGCGATAACTTAATGTCCGTCTTGTAACGGACCCCGGAGTCTTGGCAGAGATAGAGAGGAAAAACTCGTGCCTTGAAGTTGAACGATCACGTTAACTAGTTGGGATCGATCTCCGCAATCTGTCAACTAACCTACAGATTCCTCTAATCTAGAATTAGGAACACCTTATTCGTCGGTCGACGATGCTTAGATCTCGCATGTTTTGTCCACTGTTCAAGATGAACTTACAAATTTGGCCGGATAATTTCCAGGGAATTTATGTTTTATTTTATTAGGTCTTTTGGGCGTTTTTTTTTTTTGATTGTCAGAAAAGTTATTGTTTTCTAAGTGTTGAACGAAATCTTCCTTGGAAATGACAACTGTAACGTTATCATTACGGATTAAGTCACAATTACTGTACCACTAAATAAGATTCTTATGGGTGAGTTTTAGGATCGTCGGCATTGTCACGCCCTTGTTTATCTTGGTAACTTGGAAAAAACTTTCGTAGTTACCTACGAGCACGCTAGAGCCGGAACTTTTATAAGGTCGTGAAGGATCGTTGCACGAGAGGGACCTTTACACGTTCTGATGTTATTTTTGGGAGCTTGTGGAAACGCCTTTACCCCGTGGCAATTTACGTCTCGTTAGAGTCGCGTGTTTTACAACCCGGGATATTTATTTTACTCGGGGGAGCAAAGTTTCGTGGTCAGCAGAATGATTGATAGCTGCGGTGAATTTAACTCTTTGCACTCCCATTTGTTGAGACGTCGATTGCTTATATCGAGTCACACTTGATAAAGGAGTGCAAAGGGTTAAGAGCTCCGCGACACGGAGGATACTCGTCCGTTCCGACAATTTTACATTTTATACAAATTTTGATTGCTGCGGTAGAAAATTTCATTTCTCGCGGGATTTTGTAGGCCAACGGACAACTCCGTAGTAAAGAATCCCCTTTGCCCCGATATCTAGAAATGGGGGGAAAAAAAACCAATGCTATCGTCCTGTACTCTGGCGGTGCAATCTCGAAGCTGCAGCGTACGTACCCGAGGGGGTTTGAAGAAAGGCTTCTCACCGCGAGAGCTTACCGACGTCACAATATCCTATTATTCTTCGAAAACACCAACGAGAAATTGCTAGAAGTTTCGACATCCGCGTATTTAATCCAAAAG